TTATGGGAGTGAATGTCCATGAGTTGGACCTGACACCCTTCCTCTGCCCCAGCCATTCCTATTTAGGGCCTGATCATTAGTTTGAAGGTTTTGTCTCTCCTATTATTTGCATTTAAGTATCACTGATATTTGAACATAGCTAAATTATGTGTAAAGCAGGGGGCTCACTACACTGTCCCTTGGTTGGGTTTAGCTGAGCAGCAGTATATCTACCCTATGAACTTGTAGTTTACCAGCAGATTCCCAGTGCCTCACAAAGGCAGAAATAAATAATAGCAACCACAAAAGCAAACAATATATAATATTAAAGTACGTATCGAGTGTGCACTATGACATCTGTAATATTCACTACTACAAAAACAAGAATGTTTGGGTCAGCAACTGACAATAGCAAAAATAACTGGTAGCCATGAATGAGGTCTGGCATTAAATTTAGTATTAAGTGTCAACTATGCCATCTGTAGTACTTACATAAAGAACAACCTAAATGGTGGGGGAAGGAGACATATAAGCCAAATAGTTCTGAAAGATGGTAAAAATCAATTCATTTAAGAGAAGAAAAATTTATAGGGAGGAAAATAAAATTTTAGAATATTCAAACTATAAATAGAGAAAAAGCAAAAGAGATGTAGCAAGGGATGGCTATATAGAAGGAGGAGAAAAAAATAAACAAAGTAGGTAAAGAAAATGAGAAAGAGAACAAGAGAATTTGACTATAAAGGCAGAATATAGGAGAAAAAAAGAAATAAACGAAAGCAAACTCCAAAATAAACAACAACAACAAAAAAAAAAATCCTAACCCTCAAAAGGCAAGACAAAGAAAAATAACAAGAGTAAAAAAATGTTAAAAATGAAAAAAAAGAAAGAAAAGTGTATATGTGTACATCCCTGAATCAATAAGCACAGCAAGAACACCAAATAAAAGAGGAAAAAAATATTTTTAATGAATTCTTAATGAAAATTGAAATAATTTCCTCCACTGCGGGTAAAAACCATTAACGAAGATGGATGTTTGCACTCTAAGCTCGACTGTCCTTCTCTCTTTCTTCTTGGGCTATGTACCTCTTAGAGAAAGCAAGAGTTAGGATTTTTTAAAAATTTTCCTGCTTTTTGAGTTAGTCACCAAGCTGTCAGCCAATTTGTGTGTAAAGCAGGGATTTAGGCCAGCTGGAATGGCCTAAAACTGAAACTGGATGAAGTAGCTTTCAGCTTTCCTTCTCACCAGTTTAAAGTAGAACTGGATGGGAAGGAAGGACTGACCATTGGAAGTTTGGTCTGCACAGACCACATCCATGTACTCCCAGCGTGGGGCTGCTGCAGAGTTCTGGGAGAGGGGGTGGGCTGTGGCTGGGATTTAACTTTAATCAGATCTCAAGAATGTTGTTGGGTGGTATCTGCTCTGGAGAGATATCAACACACCCCTCCAGCTGGGTAGATGTCAATCTGCTGTGATTCTGGATCTCAGGAGTGTCCTTAGAATTCTACTCAGGTAGACCCTCCACAGGTGTCTCACGCTCCACCACCCACAAATATTCCAAGGCTTAGACCCCTGAGTATAATTATGCCTATTTGGTTTCTCGACCCTCTTCAGCTGGTCATATAAACTGCCAGACTCAAGAGGAAGCTAGTTGGACTCCTCTTCATTTTTTGGATTTGAATCTCCCTGGGTACAATCTTCTGGGCCTGTTTCACTGGCATTTTGCTAGGTACACCCTAGGCCACTGGATAGGGACTTACCAGAACAGTGTGACAATATTTGCTATGTGCTCCTGGACTCATTTTGGAGCAGCATGGCCTTCTCAAGATGGCTGCTGTCTAAGCTCTCCAATCACCAGTTGGGAAACACAGAACAACTTTTTAAACACCAGTTTGCTGTGTACTTCCAGATCCCCTAAGTTCAGGCTGCTTTTCTGTTCTACAGGGTTTCCACACCAAATGTGTCTGTTGTGTTTCCTTCTTCATCCTATACCTCTCTGCTGATAAGCTAGAGCTTCTGCTGCTACTGCAATTGGCTGCGTTCCATTACACAGCTTCTTATTCTCTGTTCAATGAACCTGGATTTCTGAGTGTCTAAGAGACTCTGATTGTCCAACATTAAATTTCATTGAATTCCATCTTTCACCCTTCCCACTGAAAAGCAGTATTCCTGCTGCTTGAATCCTGAGCCACAGAGCAACTGGAAAGCAACCTACTTTTATCTGAGAAAATGGTTTCTGTAGCACTTCTTGATTGCTCTGCATTCTCCTTGGAACTGGCAGGGAGGAGAGCATGGGCCTCCAACCCCATTCACTGTTTATTTCCTAGACTTTTTTTGTTTGTTTGTTTGTTTGTTTGTTTTTTGTTTGAATCAACAAGGAGCATACACCATCATCACAGCACTACCATTTACTCAGGGTGCTACCTAGCAAATGCATATTAGCTTTACTTTTCACAAAAACAGTGCAAGGTAGCTATTACACTAATTTACATATTTGATTGCTCTGATTTAGAAATGCTAAGCAAGGTAAACAGATTTTGTGGTACATAAAAATCTACACTAGAATCTACACTAGCTTGACTCCGCACACTATCATTTCCTCATGCTTGCATCCCTCCCCCTCCCCCTCCCCCTCTCCCTCCTTCTTCTTCTTCCTCTTCCTCCTCCTCCTTCTCCTCTTCTTCTTCTTCTCCTCCTCCTCCTTCTTCTTCTCCTTCTCCTCCTCCTCCTCCTCCTCCTCCTCCTTCTTCTTCTTCTTCTTCTTCTCCATCATCATCATATTAATAATAATGATAAAAAAATTATTTCTACTCTTAGTTCATGTTTTTTGTTGTTGTTGTTGTTGTTGTTCTCTAATGGTCACATATTTTGTTCCTGGAAATCTTGAGAAAAGTGTGTTCACTTCTGTGCTGGAAGTTTTATGCCCTTCATTGTATCATAAAAATGAAAATTGAGCTCTGCCTCAAAAAATCATCTCTTGAAACATGAACAAAGTTTTTGGATTCATTATTGTTCATCAGCAAATAAAATAAAGACTTGTTTACATTTGTTCCATCCTTCTTCATAAGGCTTAATCCCAAACAAATAAAACCTATTCTGAAGAGTTTGAAAGACAAAGCTTTGAATATTCCTTTTCCCTCCTCATTCAATTTATCCACTTTTCCACATATTTAACATTATTGAAAATTATTTGTCAAGCTTTGGTGTCTCTTTGAGTGAAGTTGGATGCATTTAAAGTGAACCAGTTAAGATCATTCTTTTCACGCAGTGGCTCACACCTGTAATCCCAGAAGCTCAGGAGGCTGACGTAGGAGGATCACAAGTTCAAAGCCAGCCTCAGCAAAAAAGCGAGGCACTAAGCAACTCATTAAGACCCTGTCTCTAAATAAAATACAAAATAGGGCTGGGGATGTGGCTCAGTGGTTGAGTGCCCCTGAGTTCAATCCCTGGTACCCAAAAGGAAAAAAGATCATTTTTTGTTAATCCTGTCACTTTGAAGGACGAGATGGGGCCCTGTTTAGAAAAGACCTATATAAAAAAACCTGAAGAGGGCTGTGGCATTGCTTCTTAAGTTCTCAATCAGAGATCTGTGTACTCACCAAATGTAACTGAGTGAGACCAAGGAAAGTCCTGGATATGTTTCACCCTGTTGCTTGTTTAGGGGTCATATTATCCTTTTCTTCATCACTTACAACCAAGCCCCATGGTGCCTTGGTGGAAGACATGGTTCATGTCTACTTATCAAAGGCCCCAGAGTTGACAAGAGTCCCTAACTTGTGGTCCTCTAAGGTACTGGAGAGTGGAGAACTTTGCTGTGAGTGCTGGGTAGCAATCCTGAGCAGTTATAGTCTCTAAATATTTCTAGGAAATGTGGGAAGGAGATGAATGCTTTCCCAGTGCCATGATAGGACTTTGAGGGCTAATCCCAAAGGCCTTTTAGAGGAGATGAGATATGCTGCCAGTTACACTTGATGTGTGTCCACATGGGGAGGCGACTTCTTGCCAGGCACTAACTCAGACAGAGGATGCTCAAAGATCAGGAGCTACTCCCTGACTCCAGAACAGCAGAGACCCCCTGGGTATTTAGATAACATCCCAGGTGTGTTTGTGAGTACAAATTGGGGGCAGGAACAAAGTTAATGGAATTTACTTTCAATTGGCAAGATTAAAATTTTCTGACTACCTTCTGTCAGGCAGAAAGGGACTTTGAGATAGAAACTAATATAGTAAACAGTTACACTTATTTGCACACTGAATATGTTGTTTTACTATTTATTTCTATTTGGCTCATTTGCTTTCCAAAGGTCAATTATTTCATTTTATAAGTACAGATTTTTAGTCTAAGGAGAAAAGAGGAAACATTCTTCTAAAAACAGAGGAGAAAACTAAAATAGAATTTGCAAATCTATGTACCATGCATCAGGGAATCTCATATCATTAGCTGCTGTTTTTCACATGCATGACAACCATGTCTTTATTATCAACATCCTCTTCATATGCATCTCCACTTGAGCATTCCTAAACTCCTGCTACCAAATTCAATACATGCAGGGAGACCCCAAATTCAATACATGCAAGGAGACTTCCCTGAGGTCACAGAAATCCCTGTTCTAATCCCTGAATCAGAGCTTGGTAGTAACTTAATAAATTAGGTGAATTTTTTCTTTAAAGAAATCAACAAGGAGATGTATCCATGAGCAATTTCATTCAGTTTTTAAAATTTATATTATTTTTCTATTACTTGGCAAACAGAATAGGGCATATCTTCTTCTCTGTGGAGTTCTGAGGGAAAGCATCCACAGCTGTTTGCTGTTAGGCAGTGATCAGGTAGGGCAGGAATATTTCTGGCCGTATATATAAACTCTCCTCTGTGAGGACAACAGCTCTCAGCAAAGGAGAATATGGCATACTGTAGAGGAGAGGTATAAATGGTGCTGTCTGATTTCAGGTAGAACCCTGACCTTCATTGTCAAGGTCCACTTACCCTCCAATGGGGTCTCCCCACTGGGGAGAAGGTGGTCTCTTAACCACTTGGGTGGAGGGTTGCCTCTAAGGTCTTATCCCTGACATTCTTCAGGAAGCTCAGAACTGCAGTTCCTCCAGTGCCCCTGTCTTCTAAAGCCTGAGGTGGCCCTGGGAGATGGTCTAGCCTCCTGCTCCTTGCTCTTGCTGCAGCTGTGACGAGATATCTGGTCACCACGGTGATGTGATAACTGCGCAGTTCTGCCAGGGCCTCCAGACACTGGTTATAGGCTGTCAGACAGTGACCATGGCCAGAGGATAGGATGAAGTCCCTCAGTGAAGGAGCTGAGTGGATTTCTTCTATGAAGGCCTTATGGGAAGGAGGCATGTAGTCTCTCATTCTGTACAGAAAGTCAGCTGAAAGAAACAACCCAGAACGATCTTAGCATCATGTGGAATTTTAGGAAAGCTTGGCTGCTTTTCCAGATAAGAAGGCACCAAAGACTGTGGATGGTGTCCTAACGCAATCTACTTGCTGGCTTTTTTGCTTGTATATGTCATATATTCAAATGTGAATTTCTGACTGTTGACAGGAGATAGAGGAAAGGAAGCAAGTGCATTGCAGATAGCTGAATTGGAACTAGATCTGTCAACCAATGTATAAATATTTATCATATACCAAATAGAAACCAAGTGTGTAGTTGCCAGCTTCTATGAGGGATATCCATAAATGTAGGATACAAACCTTAAACTAAATTGCTAAATACTCTCATAAATTTTGTTTCCTAAGTGCTTTTTTTTTTTTTTTTTTTTTTGGATGGAGTCCTAAGAACAATAAAAGTTAGAATGTTTATAAGGGCCCAAACACAAAGAATGAGCAACTGTGTTACTAATAGACTCTTGAAGCCAAGTTGGTTAAAAATCAACAGATACGTATGGAAAGTTCATTATGTGTTTAATATTATGTGTAGTATAACAGGTATTAACATTGAAGCCAGATTTAAAGTTAGGTAGTCAGTGTAGTTAGGTAAATCGGGTCTAATATGGGTCTAATATCAGTGAAATCTAAAATGGAGGCCGTGCGGAGAATGACTCAGGGAAAACACAGGACAACTCATGGAATGTTAATGAAGTCCCGAAAAGGCCCTAGGCCAAAGTCCACCTCAAAGAAAGGTTAATGAACAGCCCCCAGCAAAAAGGTGCTGACTCAGAAGTCCTTCCTGACCAGATTACTTCTTTGGCCCACCTGTGTCCCACCCCTCGGTCCTTCCCACCTACATTCCATCACTGAAAGAACTATAAAAAGGGGAGACAACATCCCTTCCACGGATTCCACCTCTTGGGTCCCCTTCTTCCTCTGGGAGAAGTCTTTTCTGCTGTCCTTTAATAAACTTCTAATTTCTACTCTGACCTTGCCTTGGCATGCTTCTTTGGTGTTATTCTTCAACATTGGGGAAGCAAGAACTCGTCACCGGTCAACAGCGGTAACAACATCATCGATGCAAAAATTTATGAAAATTTTTCATAGTTCCACAGAATTGACTTTTGTCATAGAGATGATTCTATGACACTGAATTTTGCTCATTTTTTTCTAATCCAACTTGAAAACTTTATAGTACGAAGTGCCTTTTTGCAGCTGTTAAGCACATAGCTCGGTGCTGGCAAGAAAGGAAATGAGCAATTTCAAGCTTCCAAAATGACAGACCCCCCTCTTCTGGGCCAAATGGATTTGGCTGGAACTTGTACCATTTCATGGGGAAGGACTGCAGTGGAGAACTTCAGACCCATTTCCATCTGGCTCCAGACTCAGCCACATGTCGTACCTTCAAACTCCAGATTTCCCCATTTTAGAAAAAGGAAGCTACACGCCTAAGGATCCAAATAAAAATTACAGAGAACAGCTGGAATTATGGCAATGTTTTAAGATTTGTAAAAGGAAAGCCAAGATCCTGCTAAGATCTGGAGTCAATTGACTTGACACCATAACATGTGGCAGGCACACAGTGTCCTAACTAATTTAGGGCAGTACAGACTGCCTGACATTCTCACTTAGATTTGGTTTTATCAATTGGTAAAAACACCTCTTTGTTCACCCTCCCCTTGGAAAAAGAAAAGAAAATGCCTGACTTACCACTTTCCTCGCTGTGATGAATGCCCAGGAACTCATCAAAGGCATGAAGTACTGAGCTCTGAGCTGCACTCCCTCCAGAGTATTTCAAGGGTTCTTTGGAGATTCCTTCATATATTAGCCCCATGGGCATTGCTGGGTTATCTTTCCATCTAAGCAGAAGTAAAAATCAGGGAGAAGTGGGTAATAGGATTGAGGAATGTATTTTTCCATATGGAGAGTGAGTGAGAAAGTGAATATAGATGTGGTGGTTTGGGGACAAAAGATAGGGAGTCTTTGCAGGATATGTTCTGATGCATCATCAACCTCAGCTTCATAACTCGCCAAGGAATTGCAGCCCTTCTCTTCCCTATTTAAAGGATTATTTCCAAGAAGCAAAGGCTTCTTAGAGAGGAATCTTTGGCATTGGTTGCATGACACTTATTCAAAAAGTTCAGTCATCATGATGGCTTCCATACTAATCAACAGAAAAATCTGGGAGCTCTGGAGAACACTTCCTCTCCTAATCTGAACCTTGATGACCTGATGCTTGTAATTATAAAAGTACAACTTCACAAATGCACGCAAATACACACACATATGCATACAACACACACACACACACACACACACACACTCACACATAAACATTATTGATTTCTCTCCCTGGAAACAATAACTGTAACAGTTGTCTCATTAAACTATCAGTCCTAAATATGACCTGCTTTTATGAGAATTGCATTTACCAAATGCTCTGTTGACAGCAGGCTCTGGGAATATGGGCAGCCACAAAGAGAACATTACACAATCCTTGGGCTTATCAGAGGGCCAATGGCACCGCATGGAGAAGGACTGGTGCTTGGGCTCATAGTCACACTCAGATCAAGTGGGCTCTCTTCCCCACCCCTCCAGACCTCCCCTCTCCTGCTTCTTTGGTTGCCTTCTTTGTTGTCTTCCCTCAGCCTCCTCTTTCTGCTGCCACCTCCTTTACTCACTTTTCTGTGTCTGTACTTGATCTCTTTCCAGAGTGATAGCATCCTAAACTGCAAGGGCTACTGTGCTGTTCATCCAGTGAAAACCACAGGACAGCCAGGCCCGAAGAAAACAACCCTACCCCTTCTAGCAGGGTTGTAATTATAAAAGTACAACTTCACAAATGCATGCAAATACACACACATATGCATACAACACACACACACACAGACACACACACACACACATAAACATTATTGACCAGTGACCAGTGCCCCTGGTGACTCCACAGTGAGACAGGACCATAGCCACGGGAGCTCACTACATCCGCACCTATGGTGCTCTACGGTTTATAAAGCACCTTCATATCCGTGTTCTCACTTCACCTCTTGCAAGTAGATCAGGGCAGATTTTTTTTTTAACTTCCATTTAGAGATAAAGAAACAAAGACTCAAGGAAGTTAAGTCCCCAGGGTCATATTGTTAAAAACAATGAAACCAGATCTTGAGCTCCAAACTTGTAATTACCTATTTTATTATTCCCTCAGAACACCATTTTGTAGATTCTACTTCTACTCAGGAAAAGAATCTTTACCTCTTGTGGCTGGGATCAAGCTACCTTCCCTGTTATGTCAGGTTACATAACAGATACACATCAATGTTCCCTGTTCTTCCTGTACTTATACGTCAACAGAGAAGGGATGCAAGACATATACAAAAGCCACAGACTCTTCTGCTAGCTGTGTGTGAGCTTCCTCAAATACTGCCCTGAGGCTAGAAAGGCTAGAAGGGGCAGGGTTGTTTTCTTTGGGCCTGGATGTCCTGTGGTTTTCACTGGATGAACAGCACAGTAGCCCTTGCAGTTTAGGATGCAATCACACTGGAAAGAGATCAAATACAGAAAGCAGAGCAGGACACATGGGAAGACGGAAGGAAAGATTCCCACTGTGGGATGATGACAAGCTGTAGCTGTTAGGAGCAAGGCCTCTGATGTAGGCAGATAGAGATTTTAATCTCAACTTTTCTATTGATTAACTGTGAGTTTGGGCTCAGTTAAACTTTCTTAGATGCTGTTTCCTCATGAGAGTAATATCAGTTATCTACCTCATTGGATCATTGTGAGAACTAATCAAAATAACATTTGCCCAGTGCCTGGAATACATTGAAGCATTAGATAAACATTAGTATTTTTATCATATTATTCAGAAAGAGGTGGAATTCCTAATTCCCTTTTCTTTTCTTTTTTTAAAGATGGACACAATATCTTTATTTATTTTATTTATTTTTATGTGGTGCTGAGGATCGAACCCAGTGCCTCACGTGTGTGAGGCAAGCACTCTACTGCTGAACTACAACCCCCCTAATTCCCTTTTCATTATTTGGTAACTGTACAAATATTTCTTAACCTCAGGTACCCCAATTTGTATCTACTTCCTATAACAGAAGAATTAAATGAGATCCAGAGAGGTTTTGTGACTTGTCCAATGTCAGGACCCTAATCTAATAAAATTGCTGAATGATAGGTATTCTGTGGTGAAGAAATGTAGAACACATGACTACCTCTGGGTGATAATCAGAACCATGACACAACTGCAGACTTGATCAGATTTTTCTGTAATTTGGATGACGGTCTATGATCATCTCAATCTCTTTTATTATTTCCTCCCTATCTTGGAACACTTCTAAATGTTAGGTCATTCCTTGGACTTCTCAGTACTCTTTATTTTACAAGTGATCTTAACTAGTATCTTAACAAAACCAACTTTAACTAAAATTTAGACTTATACCTGGACGCCACCCCATACTTCAGAATCCTATTTCTCCCCACTTGAGATCTCCACAGGATGAACATGCCCTTGAAGTAATCTCCCAGAACCCCTCCCTGCTTCCCAAGCCTGTTTCTCCTACAGTCTTCCCAGCAGAAGAGATAACAGAATGAATTTTTTTCAGTGGGTTAGGCCAAGAAACCTCACAATCACTGTAGACTGGTGTACTTCTCTTCAATTCCTTGTGTAATCCAAACAGCAAATTGTGTTAACCTTAGTATCAATATACACGCAGATTCTGGCCATTTCTCAACACCTTCACTATTGCCACCCTAGTCCAGGCTACCACACTGAATCCTAATAATGGTTTCTCAAACACTTTCCTTGGTTTCAAATCATCTCTTTTCCACTCAGCAGCTAGAATGATGATCCGAAACCAAAGACAGATCATGCCATTACTCTCAAAACTGCTCACCTCACTGAGAGAGCAAGAGCCAACATGCCCTCACATCCCATATGAATCTTTCTCATTCTCCCTGTATGTTCCAGCCCTGCAGTTCTCCCATCATGAAAAAAAAGGCAATGACAATGACCCTACATCTGGGTCATTGCAATTGCCTTTCCTTTTGCTTAGAACAGGAATCTGGGTGGATCACTCTCTTACTTCCTTCAAGTGTTTGCTCAAATGTTCAAATGCCACTTGTGATGTGGCATTCCTAGATGACAATTATCAAATAAGACATTTCAGCCACCACACCTAACACTCTTTCCAGAATACCTTATATTCTGGTTATCATTTCCCTACATTGCCTATTGTTGCAACACACATTGTAGGATCCTTGCCTTTAGAAGGTCCACTTGTTTTCCATGTTTATTTATTTATTATCTTTTATCCCTCCTTCAAACAAGAACCAAGATGTTGTTTTGCTTCACTGCTCTGTTCTCAGCACATACAACTGTACCTGGTATGTGGTAAGCACTCATCATTAAATATCCGGTGAATGAATGAATGAAAAAATAGCATTCTATTTATCTGTATCTAATATCCAGAATATGCAAACCCAAATGCATTTCTTGAAAGGATCCAGCCAGCTTAAAAGAATTACCAGATATTTCAAATTATCGACACATTAATCAATCTCCTTTTAGTGTCCCAAGTGGAGACAATATATTGAAGCCATATTGAAGAACTAAAGAAACCCCAGTACGGAGGACCAAAAAAAGAAAAGATAAAATTGATGTTCTCTAGCTAGAGTAAGTTCAGTTCAAGGAAGAGAAATTGGATTTCTCTGAGCAGCCAGAGTATCAATCCCATGTACTCTTGGGCCCAGGAGTATTGTAGCATATTTCTAACAACCCCAAGAAAATGGGAAGTTTAAACAACAGATTTGATATGACATCTTTTCCATAGAGGCATCTAACTTCCCTGAGAAATTTAATGCGAGTAGGAACAGAAGGGAATATGCTCATTTACAGATGAAATCCCTCAACTTTCCTAAATAAAATTTTTTAAAAGGAATAAACAAAAAATAATAAACCAAACATAGGACAAATCAAGTACAAAAGAATAAATTTGCATTTTCCAAGCAACCCTCTTGGGAATTCTCAACAGTTCAGATGTTTTGGCCATCTATACATACTATACCTTTACAATTTAGTACTGGCCACATAGTTACATGGGAAATATTTTGAGGATTAGAAATTGATGGGGAGGCATTTATGTAGATTACAGTTAAAATGTGCCACTGACCCAGAACTTATTTTAATGAAAACATAGTCACTCTCTGGTGCTCATCTAATCATGAAGATTTCAGAGGATGTTGCTCATTTTTATCTGATGTCTCTGACATAAACATGTAGAACTTATTTATTCACTTGAAAGATGCTGTGGTGCATGGAATTCTAAAAAGAATTCTCCAAAATTTCCACTCTCATTTCTAGAACTGTTAATATTAAGAGATATCTTGTCAATGTGGTGTATTATATGTCAAGGCAGAAGAGACTTTGCAGATGTAATTAAGGTTACTGATTAATTAGCTTCAATACAGCGAGTTATCCTGCATTATCTGGGTGAACTGAATCTAATCACACACCTTTAAGTGCACAGTTTCCTCTGTGTACTGGCAGGGGGAAAAAGGAGTTAGGGAAACTTGCAGAAGAGAAGGTTTAGAGGTGGTGTTCCTGAGGTAGAGGGAGCCACTTCAGGGATCAGCAGGCCCTAAAAACGGAGAGAAACTCCTGCCCAGTTGTCTGCAGGGAAACAGTTCTCAGTTCTAGGACTCCAAAAATACTGCATTCTTGCAGCAACCTCAGTGAGTTTGGAAGCCAATCTTCACTCAGAACCTCAGCTAAAGGGCAGCCCAGCAGATACTCTGACCTCAGTCTCTTGACATTCTAGACAGAAAACCCAACTGAGCTTGTCTGGACTTCAGATCTACAGAACTGTAAGATGATAAAAGCACATTGTTTAAAGCTGCTAAATCTGTGGTAATTTGTTATGTGACAAATGAAAAATGAATACAGATTTAGAAAGCAAAGTGAAGCACAAAGAGATTTTCCTGGAATAAATGTTTCCTAAATCCCGGTCTATTTCTGTATGTAGTGTAAGCTTTCTCTACGGTTCCATAAACTTTTGTTAAAAAATAAATGGATTTTTTTTTCATGTCTAATCCTACCAAAGGTATACAAAGAAAGCCTAATTTCTCAGCTATGCTCTCAACTCTTTTTGCATACACTTCCTTCCTGTGTTAGTTCGTTTTCTATGAGAGAAAAAAAATACTAGATATGATCAACATACAAGATAGAAAATTTTACTTCAGCTCAGAATTTCAGAAATTTCAGTCCATGGTCACTTGATCCTATCACTTAAGGACTATAGAGAGACAGGGACAGTGTGGTGGAGCAAGGCTGCTTACCTCATGGCAGCCAGGAGCTTCCAGGGTCCCAATATCTCTTCCAAAGGCATGCGCACACTGACCTACTTCCTTCCTCTAAGCCCCACCTGGAAGAGATTCCACTGATTCCCAATAGCGCACACAGCCTCTAGGCAGCATTTAATATCCAAACCATAATAATCTACCTATTTGTTTCATTTCTTCCCTTAAGTCACATACTCATTACTCTAAAGTTATTCTAGAAACCTTGCTTTTCACCATTTAAACATTAAACACACACACACACACACACACACACATAAAACTGTCAAATGTGAATAGGAAGGCAATCTGATTAAAACAAGCAATGTCTTAGTCTATGCCTGCTGCTATAACAAAATATTTTTCACTGGATAATTTGTAAATAATAGAAATTTATTTCTCATAGTTGTAGAGCCTGTGAAGTCATAGATCAAGGCACTCACAGGATCAGGCTGCTGAAGACCTACTCTCTTGCTTCCGGATGACTCCTTGAATGCTGTGGAAAAGGTGGAAGGGTAAAAAGGGCCTAGTGGGTTTTTTTGTTTGTTTGTTTGTTGTTTTTATTTTATCAGTGCCAAGGAATAAACCCAGGGCCTCATGGGTACTAAGCAAGTGCTCTACCACTGGGCTGCATCCCCAGCCCTCCCTAAACCTTTCACAAGTGCTTTAGTGCCTTTCACCAGGGCACAGCCATGATGTCCTACTCTCCTTCCAGAGACTCTACCTTCTAATACCCTCATCTTGTTGATTAGGTTGCAATATAAAGAAATTTCAAAGGGGTGCAGACATCAAACCATACAAAGTTTCTCTTCTAGGGACTTTGAAAGAACATTTCTATATTGTTATCTATTTCCACTTGCTTCAGTAACAAGGAAGAGAATGGGTATAAGTGATAGAGTTATGTGGGTGAAATATTCAACTCTGTCATCAAAGTGGGAGTCTAAGAAAAGTGAATATAAATGGATCTAATATGAAGACCTAAAGACTCTACAAATAGTCAGCCTTTTATATCATTTGCAGATGGTGCCCCACTTCCTTGATCCAAGAGTGGATCCAGATGATTACTTTGCTAGCAAGGGTCACTTGGTATGTTTCTTACTTTAGGAAGGTTCTGTTTGTTTCTCTTCTCATAAATTTGGAAAATGCTACAGAGGCCTCATGCAGAGAAACAATTGAACTATGCTTACCCAGAGAGAAAGATCCGGATGACTGCATAAAATATGTCTGGATCTACATAATCTGGAAAAGCAATCAGAATATGAACTTTACTACAGGCAAAAGAAAACAATTGGTTACATGTGCATGGGCCCTGCTGCTCTCCTGGGGCTGCATCCTCTATCTGATCTGCACAGAGACCAGAATGGAAGTAGCAACAAGAGGCAGATGGAATGTTCTCTTCTGTGGCCCCCCTCATTGGCCCTTACAGAACTTTTAAATGATTCCATATGCTGGCCTTTTCTATTTATGGAACTTCCCTTTCTTACTTAATCACAACAAGGCCATCCTCAAAATTAATATTTTAAAGAGACATGATATGTGAGAGAATGTGGGAAGGGGAGGGAAGAAAAGCAGAGAGTCACCCCACTCAACGTTTCCACAAGAGAGGGAAGCCAAATCCATCCATGCTCAGCTGAGGGTCTGTGTAGTCAACAAAGGACACAAGCATGCCCAGGATTGCCACAACAAGTCAGATACAAATTCATTTAGATCTAAACTGCATTTGTTAATGTGTACATCCATTGCTGAATCTACATTGATGCTTGAGGATAACTGATCCTACTAGTTTGTTAACTTGTATGTAAAGAAGTATGTTCTCTTCTTTTTACTAAATTTCTTTCATCAGCTTTGGAGAGCCATTCTCTCCCCTCTTCACAATATGTCAGGTCACATGATATATATGGGGCCCCTCTGAATTCTGTGACCTCCTACATTTTCATCTTATCCAAATTCCTATCTAGGTTGTTTTGTTTCTTAAGAGAAAAAGAAAACTCTATTAAATGAGGCCAAATAACATTGCACAACCATCGGTTTCCCTTTTCTACCGTCATGCATAGTCTGTGATCCTCCATCTCTTTCCTGTCTCTATTTTCTATGAACCATCATGGACTCAGGTAGCTCATACTCTTAGTCTCTTACTTTCGTCTCAGAGTGTTCAAATGTTCCTTGATAATGTCACATTCTCACCTCTCATATCTGACAATGACCAAGTGTTGGGTTTTTTCCCTTAGTCATACTTCTTGGTTTTTTCCCCCTTAGGCACTCTGTCCCCACCCAAATGACTAAGCAACTTTTGTGCTGAAGCAGAAATGATTGGAGGTAATTTAATATTTTACATAAATTAACATATGAAAGCAGTCAAATGATTATTTCAATATATGTAAAATATTTTTAAAGTAAAGAAATTGTAATAGATTTTAAAAAAAATCATTCATGATTAAAGCAACCAAATAATTCAGCTAATTTGGAATTTCTATGTTTCTTACTTACCTTCTTAAACTGATAAAAAGACATCTACAAAAAGTGCTATGCTTAATAGAAAAATATTAAAAATAACTCTTTTAAAGAGTAGAACTAAAAAAGGTCAATATTTCCATTCAGGACTGTCCCTTACTTTGAAAGAAATTAAAGAAAAACTAGGACATGAAAGGATAATCTTTATATACTGGACCCATGGACAAGAAAATTCAATATCTAAGAGAAGAAATGCATTAAAGAGAACAGAGTTCTTTGTGGAATATGTCAGGTCACACGTTATATAACTTTGTAAGACATTCTGCTTATAAAATCACAACGTCTGTAGCACATGTAGCTAAAAAAATCAGCAGAGTGTACAAAAAAAGAAAAAACAATAAGTAAAAGGTGAAGTTCAATATGAAAGTGAGGAAAGACACACATCCTACAGAAAATGGATATGAATGGTGAGCCTATGCTGTATGAATGTGTATGTGCACACACACACACACACACAGAGATATAAGACAGAGACAGAGTTGTGAACTTATCAGATATGAGAGAAATTGCAAATACAAACATGAAGAAACACCATTTCATATCTATCTGATTGGCAATAACCAAATAGATAACTGAATAAATGAGTGAAATGAATTAGTAAATGAATAGAACTAACAATATTAAATGTCAGTGAGGTAGGATTTCAATTATTACATAAGCAGTGACATCCTTAGATTGTTCCATCCTTTACTAACATTCAGTTTTACTAACTAGCACCAAACTGCTTTGAGGGCAATTCGGTGCTAGTTAGTAAAACTGAAGATGTACATACCTTCTTATTGTGCAATTCAGCTCCTTGGCATCTACCTTAGAGATAGTAGTCTCTTAAGTACAGACACCAGGAGTTATGGACATGAATACTTGTAGTGGCATTGCTTTTAATAGCAAAACAAACACAGCGGCTGGGGTTGTGGCTCAGAGGTAGAGCCCTTGCCTAGCATGTGTGAGGCACTGGGTTCCATTCTTGGCACCACATAAAAATAAATGAATAAAATAAAGGTCCATCAAAGTCTAAAAAATTATAAAAAACACAAAATAAACAAACAATAAAGAGGAATAACCCAGAAAAAATAAGTAAATTATAGTCTAGTTGTACAAAAACCTGCTATGTAACAGTGACAAGGCACTAAATCTATATGACCTACAAGGTAGGCACTTGGTGAAATGGTCAGGATTCGGGAAGAAAACATACATCTTAATTCTTCTTCTTCTTCTTTTTTAAGGTTCAAAAGCATGTAAAATAATGTACTGTTATGAAATACTTTCATAACGAAAATTTACAGAAGTGAAAGAGAACGACTAATATAGTAATCCACATGTTGACAACAGGAAAAATGTTTTGGGGAAATGAAGTTGAAAGGAAGCATTTAGAAGGTTTCAAAGTTTTAGGTAACAGTCCACTTTTTAAGTTGAAAGCTGGGCATGAGGGTTTTATTCTATATATTCAATTTTATGTTGTTTCATCCTTGAAAAAAGACGGCCAGCAAAACACCATGTCCCCAAAATGCCACTTTCCATTCCCAAGAACCTGGCCAAGTCAAGGGAAAATGAATGCAGGCCCACACTGGAATGTCCAGATAAGCACTATCTTGAAGAACACTGACTTGTTCTTGCATGCACTGGGAACTGGGGCAAACTAGCATTATCTGTAGGAACCACTTTCTTGCACGTACGCTAAGCTCCTTGGGATGCTGGTCATACAAATGGAATGGAGCAATCTAAGGATGTCACTGCCTATGTAACCTAACCCCTGTCCCTGTAGGAACTGGTGCAGAACAGACCACTGTGGAAAGATGTACTCTAGTCCAGCCAGCTACCCCTAGAAAAAGTGCCTTGACAGACAGACACTACTTTCTGGCAAAGCCTCATGAGGGACAGAGGTGCTATCTATCCAGTCTGAGGCTACTGTAAGCAGTTTTTAGTAAACCTTATGTATTACGTGCCATTTCTGGGTATCTTGTTTTGTTCTATCCATTTGCTTTACCACAACTGGGTTGTGGACAATACATATATTCTATCTTGTTTATACATTAAATATTTTGTTCTTTTTTTTTCCAGAAAACAACTTAGTGTTTATAGTATATAAGGCTATTAGTAGGTTCAGAGTTGATTCAAAATCTGGTATTTGTTGTTGTTACCACCCAGTTGATTTTCTGGGATAAATTTTAAGCAATTTGGGTGGGGGGGACTATTCCAAACAAAATACTGTCTAAGGGATCCCAAGTAGATAAGTTCTTCCTCTACCAACATAGTGCCTTGGGTCAATATGTATCTTTTGGCTGAGAAGGGTGTTTCCTAAAACCCCTTCCAAATGACTTCCTAGCAGAGTGGGAAAATGGCATTGTGGTCTAAGGCTTCTGCTCAGATTGCACTCCCAGGTGCATTCAGTGCCTGGATAAATATCTTCCCATGTTTCTGTTGTTGTTCAGCAATGCACAAAATAGGAGGCTAAGGATGTAGCTCAGTAGTAGAGTGCTTGCCTCACACCCACTAAGCTACTGGTCTCCAGGTTATGTCCCCAGCATTGAAAATAAATAAACAAACAAATAAAATATTGGTTAAATATCTCATTTGAAACTCATGTGAATCTCCAGAAAACCTATGTGGTTGTGATCAATTTGCATGAAGCTCATCAAAATTTTTGCGTTATAAACATTATGATGATATTGGTGATGGTGACAATGATGATAAAACCAAGGAAACCTGCTTTTGAAGCTTTTTAGGAGTAGAGATAATGGGTTTTATGCTGGGAAGAAGCTTTTAAACAAAGAGAACTCAAAAAGATCAAGGTCACAAAAACCATAGACCCAGAATGACTGCAGTATTGTCATGTTGTATGCATGTTCACTACAATCCCACTGAGACACGTGATGTGGCCAGTGCTCTATTGGCCAACTCAGAAGGCAAGGCTTGGAGGGTGGCCACTCTAGGAGACTGGACTCCACTTTCCAGGGTCTTGACCACTAAGCTGTATCTTGGAAAGCCATATATCTCCACTGAATGTCCCACCATTACCTTAAGTTTAATGAGTATTTTTTAAATTCTCCCTTTTTTAATTTTTAAGAAAGTAAATTATTGAGACTAGGTCATACATGCATTTGGTACACAATTTAAGAAGTACAACAAGGTTGAGAAGAAACAGTATGCTTTTCTGACACTCAGGTTCCCGATGCCACTTTCCCTTGTCAAATTTATTGACTTCTATAGAACATTTTATGTAGAATATTCTCTTTAATTATTGAGCAAACGTTTCAGACCTTACTGCTATTCTCAATCTCTTGAAGATGTATATATGTGTATATATATATTTTTTTATTTTTAAGCTATCAATATATTTTGAGTCATAATCTTCTCACAAATTAACTCTAATATCTAGCAGCATTTTGGTTTATTTTTTCCTTTTGCTTCACTGTTTCACCAAATCCCAACCACTTGAATCGCTAATGACCATTATCCAGTGCCCAAATCTGAGAAAATTATTGCAAAATGTAAGAAATCACCAATTAAACTTAGCATCCTTCCTGTGAATCCCCATCTACTCTGAAAAACAACCAACCAAGCAGAACTTGATTACATCCACCAAATGATAGATCTTTACCAAAGGCATCATGATTTTTGTTTTAGTATCCAGATTTGAAATTACACATACATATTTGATACCTATTTCTGCTACTAAATGTACCTAAACTTTGCCCATCCTCAGTCTTTTTTTTTTAATGTTTCATTCA